TTTGTAGGCACTTGGGAAAGCATACTTAGGGAGAAAGATACATTCTGACCAGCAGACCATACGTCCTGGAAGGAGTCCGGGTTGGGGGACCCAGTTCTGGGGCCGCTTAGGAGCTCCCGGTTTCCCCTTGGAGGACACTTGCCACTCAGACCAGCACCCCACTTTGAGAGCTGTCGGGTGCTGGCTGTGCAGTCGCCGAACGTGTCCAGGTTGCACTGAGGACCGGCTCCCTCGGTGGTGCTCAGGGCTCGGTGGCTGTGGAGACCTCGATGCTGCTGGAAAAGGCGAGAGACCTCGCCTGGGTGCTGACAAAGACCCCCAAGGAGAGGAGAGAAATGCTCATTGACTGAAGGAATAAACAAAAACGTTTGACCTACCACCCTCTTCCTTTGGGCGACGTGGGGCGGGGGGACATTGGGCAGGGCACAGAGGAAAGGGTTGGGTGTGATCACAATTTTTGCTTTCAGTGTTTTCCTGAGGAAATCTGTACAGCTGCATGTTCCGTAGCACGTATGACCAGAGGGGCTTCAGCCTGTGCCAGAGTTATTGATTGACAGGATAGGACCCGATTTCCCCCTGACACCGTGCTCCCCACCCCAAACCTTCTATTCTGGTCAGGCCAGTCACACTTAAACAATAGTCTTGCTCTAAATGCCGCGCGTCCCCCCAACCCCTCTCCAATGCCACCTTCACCCAAAGGCTTAGTCATTAAGTCCCAGGAAAGCCTTGATGTGCTTGCCCTCGTTTCTCCCTTCTCCGATCTCTTTTTGCAGGTGGGGTTTTCTAAACCATGTGGTGCAGGGCTTTTTAAACCTGTGCTGTCTTGTACAATACTCAGACTGTTCGAATTTGTTTGTCATCTTGTCGTCTTTCCAAGGAGATTGTGAACTCTCCCTCCGACTGGAAGTTTGGAATTTGGCATACAATCAGGGCAGAAAGTCTTGATTACCTTCCTTCCTAGTACCTTTTGTAGTAACACCAATCAGCTCCTGTCAGAACAATCCTGGTGGTGGGTTTAGGCGTCTGGGAGAAATTCCTTCTTATCAAGTTTCAACTGATAAAAATCAAAATGTCTTAAAGCACCTTTTCATTCTAGGTTAATGTCTGGCCATTCCTCTGCCCAGTCAGAGGAGTTCAGGAAGTTCTCGAGGTTGGTGGTGATAGCTGACCATTTGTAGTACAGCTAGCTCCATTGTCCTTTGGACTTTTTGGCAGTTCATATTACAGGACATTTAAAGAAAGAGCAGTACCTGTGAAATTAAGAGCAGGCGCGCTCTCTCTCTCGCTCTCTCTCTCTCTCTCTCTCTCTCTCTCGTGTTTGTGTGTGTGTGTGTGTGTGTGTGTGTGTGTGTGTTGGAGTGCCTGTTGGAAGCTTGTAATCTGGATCTACCATCTGAATGGTCAGATGAAGAGATGGCTCAACAGTTAAGAGCCCTGGCTGCTCTTGCAGAGGACCTGTCTGGATTCAGTTCCCAGCACCCACATGGTATCTAACAACTGTCTCTGTAATTCCAGTTCCAGGCTATTCAACGCCCTCTTCTGGCCTTCATGGGCACTGCATGCACATGGTGCACTTACATGCATGCAGGCAAAACACTCATGCACATAAAATAAGAAAAAAAAATCAGTACACCTACTAACACAAGTGCCTCCCATCTAAGCGCTGAGTCACGTTGGGTTTTTGCCATTCTTTGTTTGGAAGGCATGAGACACGGTGAGGATCCCGTTTGCTTTTTCTGCTTAAGTCCTGCATTTTTCAAACTGCAGAAAGAGACCAAGTGGTAAAGAGTGATAAAGTCACTGGATTCCTAGCAGTTTATTCTCTTTTTAATGCAACAAGGGGATCAGTATGCTGTATACAGAAATACTAAGAATTATGCCCTAAAACTTGTACTTTTATGCATGCATTTTGAGTTGCAATATAAAAAGTATCTTGGGGATGTTTTTGTTTTTGAACCAGAGTTTCAAAAAGTGTTGCTTAGGCTAGTCTGAAGCTCAGAACTCCTTTTCTTCAACATCTGGAGTTGGAATTACTGCAGGAATTTTGACGACTGATTAACAGCATTTGCCACTGCACCTGGCTTTGTGATGTAAAATATATTTTTTTGCTGGTACTGAAGAACTGTGAAAGCAATTTGACAGATAGAAAGACCGCCACATGTATGAGTTCTAGATTTTCATGGGAACATTGTCATGGTAGATTGTTAGATTTCTAGTGAGAGCAGATAGCTATCTCTTATAGAATTATTTGGCCATTATTACTTGATAAAATAGAATGCTTTTGTTTCTAAAAAGTTTGCAACTAGTTAGCCTTCCCAACTTGTCAAACACCTGGACTTTAGAGTGACCCTTAAATTCTATTTATTCAGGGGCTGGAGAGATGGCTTAGCGGTTAAGAGCACTGGCTGCTCTTGCAGAGGACTTGGGTAAAGTTCCCAGCACTCACAGGGCGGCTAACTCCATGTCAACTGTCTGTACATTCTAGGGGATGCGACACCCTCTGTTGGCCTCTGAGGGCACTGCATGCACAAGTGTACTTACGTACATGTAGGCAAAACACTCATGCACATAATAGACATAAATAAATTTTAGACCCTGTTTATTCAGTACTTCCCTTTGCCTGTGATGGTTGCATGTATTGAATTTGTTGAATTCAATTTGTCGTTTGTCTCCACCTTGCATGTTCAACTAGTCTCATTCTGATATTCACTTCCATGACTGGTTTGGCCTTTAATCTTCTATTACCCCTGCGAAAGGCAGCTTCTAAGATGGCCTCAACTACTCTCACTTTCCTCCTGCTTTTTGATAGTCCTCTCTTATGAACATAGATTAGACCTGGTGATGTGGTCCTATTTGGCAAAAGTGACAGCATATCACTTTCTTTTTTTAAGATTTATTATTTGTGTGGGGTGTGTGTGTGTGTGTGTGTGTGTGTGTGTGTGTGTGTGTGTGTCCTGCAAAGGTCAGAGGCATGGGATTCCCTGGAGTTACAGGTGAGCTGTCCTACGTGGGTGTCACTGAAAGAGCAGTATGTGCTCTTACCCCTCACATCTGAGGCTAGGTTACAAAAAGACCGTGGTGTCTCGCTTGCTCTCTTGACCTCTCTCTCTCTCTTTTGCTGTCTCCTGCCTTTGCTTTGAGGAAAAGCATCCATCTCCTGAAATTGTCTTATGGAAAGACCCACGTGGCAAGAGCTCATATCTCTGACAAAATCAGAGAATTACTGAGGCCTGCCAGCGATCGTGTGAGTAAGCTTGGAGGCCAGTCCTACACAGTTGATCCTGGAGATGACTGTGTCCCAGGGGAAACTTTAGCCTGAAATCTTACCTTAGCTTAGGTAAGCCCAGTGTGTATTTCTGACTCACAGAAACAAGTAATGATAACTGTTGATTGTTTTAAGCCACTGTGTTGGCACAGCTTATCACTAGATAAATCCCTATGCTGCCTTCCTATGCTGTACGCTTTTACCAAAATGCATGGCCTAGTGTTTTCAATTATAAATCATTTCCCATCTAAATCATTCCGACTGTTTAAAATGTTCTTCATGCTCTATTTCCTTGCCATCCCTCTGTATCTAACTTTCCTTTGAGACCCAGGTTAAATGCCACATCTTTCATTAGCTCTTCTTTACTTGATTTAATTTGAAAGTGATCTCTCTCTACTGTATAAAGGTCTTTTTGACAATCCGTTTAGTTCTGTCTATACATTAGATTTTTGTCTAGTACTGGTGAGAAGGCTGTAATCTTCTCAGGGTAACCTCTGGCTAATCACACCCAGACTAGTCACTTGTAAAAGCAAGTTCTTTTTGAACATATGCATGAATGAAATTGAGGGTTCCCTTTTTCTTTTTAGTACCACTTAAATGTATGTATTTGCTTATTGCCTGTTGCCCTCTCTCAGATGTAGGCAGGTAAAAGCAGGGGTTTAATCTGCTTTGATCACATTACCTTTATCCTGAAGTAATAAATGCAGGGACATGTGGTTTTCAGTGTCTCTAGAACCAGAAGAAACCTGTTATCTAATACAACTAAAGGGCATCTGTCTTATGCCTTACAGAGCAAAGTAGAACTCTTGATTTCCATATCAAAACCATTCCTTTTCTAATCTTTCCAATTGGGAAGAATGATGACATACCTCATAAAGGAGCTCAGCCCCTGCACCGCCCCCCCGGCCCCCCGCCCCAGCCAGGTAGCCATCTGGGACTCTCATCTTGAGTTCACCTTTCTTCTAGTCCACCAACACTCTCACTGCCCACGCTGGCTCCAGCCCAAGTGCCCAGAGTCCCAGCATTCACAGATAGCCTGTATGTGGGCTGGTATTCTCTGTGCTCCCAGCCCATTCTCTACCTAACAGCCAGAAAATCTTGGCACGTAAGCCAATTTCTTGCTTAAAGGGATAAACTATTTTCTTTACCTAAAGTCCTCTAGTGACTTCTAATTACAATAAGAATAAAATCTGTGTTCCTTGCTTAGCATGACCTCACTTGGCCCTCGTCTGCCTCAACCTCCTCTTCTCCA